ATGTGAATATTCATTTGTTATTAGTCTCACTGCTCTATTTTTCATCTGTTCTATTATAGTTTCTTTATGTTTTCTTGAGGATCCCAAACAGAGGATGCATATTCTAATATTAGTCTAACTAAAGTTAAATAGCATTTTAGTTTTATGTTCTTGTTTAATTAGTAAAAATTTATTTTAATTAACTCTAATGTTTTGCATGATTTTTAAAAAATAATTTCATGATAACTTTTAATTTATTATTACACCTAGATATTTTGAATTTTTAGTCTGTGTACGTGACTGGTTTACCATGAATGAAGTAAGTAGTTTTTATTTGTTTTACTTTTTGTTACTCTTAATAACTGGCATTTTTTCTGGGATGAAAGACTTGCTTCATTTTGATTCCCATTTCTGTAATTCTTCTAATTCTTTTTGTGTTGTTTTTATTGTTCTATGTATTATGCAATCGTCTACAAATAATCTGACTGATTCCTAAACAAATATGCCATTTGGTAGATAATTTATGTAAATTAGAAACAGTATATATATAGTGACAGCTGGCCACTGTTCCTTACTATTATTGGTGTTGATTTGGAGCCATTTATTTTTACAGTTTTTTCTCTTCCTATTAGAAAATCCTGAGTCTATTGATGTAATGAACCATTAATGCCAATTATTTTAGTTTTTTAAGCAGGCTATATATGGTGGTGAACTTTGTCGAATGCCTTAGAAATGTCTTATAAAATTGCATCTATTTGCTCATTATCATCTAATCCATTTGACACATCAACGTTTTGAAATCACAGAACTCCAATGTAAGAAACTTAAGAACTTAAAATGACTAACTTAATTTAAATGTGTTCTCCATAGATTCTCACCTTTCTAATTGATAATAATGCTTCGTCAAAATTTAACAATTTAATTTATTAGTTTTTAATCCCCCCTACACACACACTAAATGATTGCTATACTGACTTCACCTACCAATAATAAATAGATAAATAATAAACTTCTAGATAATCCCAAACATACCACTCCGACACAAATATAAAAAGCGATATCCTCGTTTTTAATTGATATATTAAGGATCTAGAGTTGACAACATTGTCACTCAATTTATTGGTAACTTCATTTCGCAAGATCCAAAATCTAGATTCTAGTCATTCTAGATAGACCTCTATTGAATAGAATAGAGTCTATTCTATCTAGACGGCTAGATCTAGATTATTTAATTCTAGACTCAATAGTAATCTATAGACAGACTATCTAGATATAATATAGACTCTAGATCTGTAAGTGTAAATAGATTTAATATACTATCTAGACTCTTAGTAATTCTAGTGTAAAATAGATCTAGACATTTTATATTGTTTAACTTTAACTTACTTTAAGCCACTTTATCTTTACTACTTTAAGGTCTACATCTATTCTAAAATATTAGACTAGATATTATCTAGAATCAAGAATGACTAGAAATATAGATTTATAAATTATAGACGCCACGACGGTAATAGACTAAGCCCACTAAGTAAGATAGTATAAAATTTAATAATAAATAAAATAGTATAATACTAAACTGAGTATTTAAATACAAAAAATTTAATAATTGACTATTGAAGTATATTTATATATAATTATATATTAACTTAGTAGATTCTATGTTAAAAAACTATGTTTATATAGAAAAGTATATACATTACTAGTCATCATCATCAAATTCCATTAGAGTGAGGGCTTGAGAGGCTCAATCCTCTCTTGCAAAAGCCCTGGACAGAAACCCTGCTGTCTTGCATAGTGCATAAATGTTGCCATACAGGTCGAGAATTTTGGGTTTCCCAGATCTGTTGAGACGGAGATCAGCAAGTCTGGGGCAGTCAAACAGAATATGAGGCACAGTTTCCTCTTCTTGCCCGCATTACTAGTAACTAGATATAGTATATAGACATGGACTATTCATGTCACTGTCACTACTATAGAATAGACTATAATAGGCAGTATACTCAATGAGTATACTGAGCATAGGGCTACGTGTATAGTACATTAGTCATTAGTACAGTTATAGCCTAGTAGATAGTAATAGTATCATAGTTATAGGCATAATATTATAGGAGTATATACTATAGGACAAAGGGGCTAACTATAGTAAAATAGTACTATTAATGTCTAATGATCAATACTCAATATTAATACTGTATTAACTAAGTTACTATCATAATCATGTTACTATCTTTATCTAGTGAGTAGTCATCATTTTAGAATCTAGCTAGATGATCATGATCATGATGATCTATAAATATAATAATCTAGATCTATATTCAATAATATTTAATAATAATATTTTAATCTAGATCTATAAATACTATAATTATTAATAGTCTATATACTATATTACATTACTATAATATTTTATAGACAATATTATTATAGAGTCTAGAATCTTTCTTAGCTAGATCTATAAATCTCTGAATAAAGTGAATAGCCAATAATAATAGTTAAATACAATTATAGTGTTATTCTTAGTATCTAGGTCTAGAACTAGAATTTTTCTAATTATATATATTGACTATATACTTATATATTCTAGATCTAGTATTTATAATATAATATCTTAAATTTAGTTTGTATAACTATAGTATCTAAATTATAATAGAATACTACATCTATCATCTACTAGTACTATTACTTACCACTAGTAGTACTAGTGAGTAACTAGTGGCTAGTCTAACCAATGATCTAATCTATCTAACCTCTATAAAAAAAATAGATATATAGATACTAATATACATTCTTTATATTTATAGACTCCATTGTCTCTATTATATGAAATTTTATTACAGATAGATCTATCTTATAATCCACACCACTACTGTACAGCAGAGTTGGAGAGTCTGAGAGTGAGTCTCAGACTCAATCACAGTGACTAAGTTTCTCTGTTATACAAATCATAGATATCTGCAGTACAGCAGAGTTGGAGAGTCTGGGTGAGAGTGAATCTCAGACTCAATCACTGTGACTAATTTTACAGAGTGTGGACTGAGTCTGTCTCAGTCTGAGTATTCTGAGTGAGTTTCTAAATTTAAATTTGAAGTATTTAAAAATCATTAAATGTATTATTTATAAATATAAAAAATCATCTAGATCTAGAGAACTAACAGTAAGAATATAAACTTAATAAACTCTAGAACAGTTATCATCAAATATTAGCAAGTTACATTAATCTAATAGAAGTGCTTTTGATTTAATGTCATGTTGTTTTTTTTTTCTAACAGTGTCAAGAAATCTTTGATTTGATGATGATCTATAATTTACCAGAGCATTCCAATCTCCATGGAACTGGTGTATATGAAAAGTCAGAATGAAATTTCGCCAGCGTATGGCCTGGATATTATTAACTTTATTTTTGACAGCATCTTTTGCTTTTGCTTACTATCTATTTGAAATCAATGATCATTTCAACACTATGGCGGTAGAGCATGTGCAAATAGAACATGGAGGAGATATTAAAGCAGGAACCTTTCTTGAGCATGCCACTCATTTACCTTTGGCAGTATGGCTTCTCATATTCCTTTTACCATATCTTCAAGTAAGTCTTTAAAGAAAAATTATAAATGTTTAGTTAGTCATTTTTGTGTCATTTCTTTGAAAATCATCTCTTTTTATAGCCCAATATTTTAATTGATTTATATATAAATACTGAAAATTGAGGGAAAGTGGGAGTGGGGCTGGTTAGTGGTTTGGACTATAAACAGAAGGATTCCCTCTAATAGGTCCTCCAACTGAGTTGTTATGGTACCAAATATAAAACACCCAGTGCTATAATAATATACATCCTTTGTGAATTCTTTAAAAAAAAACTAATATATCCAAATATAACCCCATAAATAAACTTTGCCAAACATAAGTATTCAGTTTTCCTTGATTTTGTTTAATTTGTTTATCCACAATGACCCTTGATTACATTAATAATATTATACCTTCTAGTACATGTACCATTCATTCCATAATAAGCATTATCATTATATCATATGCACAAATCCCTAGACATACACATTTGTTTGACCATTACCACATGTGGCAACATAGACCACATAGTGTAAAATGAAACACATAAACCGATAGACCCTAAAGTGACCAGCTGAACTCTTTATTTTCTTTTTTAAATAATGTAATAGGGTGGTGTGTTTTTTTCTTGAATATTCATCTTAATAACACTATAATCTTTGTAAGGATGAAACTCAAATGATAATATAAAACCTCTTTTTTAAATTAAAAAGTGCTTCAATAAAGGAATGTAAGTAGTTTCCCTTCAAAAGCAAAAAGTGGCATTTATAAGGGAAGTAAATGTCACCTCTTACTGTGACCATAGAACTCTATGGCCAGCATCACAACCAGTGACACCACCAAAGTGATATCACTCATTAAAACCAGATCTGTTTTCTCAAATTTAAAGCAAAGCAAATATGTCTATACAATAGAGACCTTTACTTAGCCGCAAAACTCTGTTGTCATAAACTTTCTGCTGGCATATCCTACTTTTAAATTCAGTGATATTTTACAATCATCTTTTCATGTAATGTAAAGATTTTTTTTTTCTATAAAGGTATTTGGTTTGTTGTTAGCATGTACTCGTCCCGAGCCACGTTTAAGTTTGGCCTACATATGGCCAGGAACACTGTTCTTCAAGTCTAGGAAACTTCTGAGAAGATACCACCCACATGATAGTAAGTCAATAAACTCTAGTGTTGTGTTCAATGGACATGTTGCTGTTTTTGATACCTGATAAAAAGACTACACAGTTAAAGACTTCAGTTATACATGTGAGACACTGCAGTTCAACTATTGAGATTTTCACACTAGTAGAATTCCTGTACACTAAATCAGCAACTATAAAAGTGATATATGGATCCTTTGATTGTATAAGGTACTAGTCATATTTATGACTTTAAGTCTACTTATATTTTTGTTTGGTTGTTGGTGTTATTATAGCAACATAGAAGAAGCAGCTCTGCTTACTTTTTTTTGTTTTTTTGTTTTTTTGTTGGTGATGTACCTGATTACAACACAAACAATAAAAGACTAAAAGTGGTTGTTAATTCATCATGTAAGCATAAACTTTTATAAAGTACAGTAGTTCATTGAGGCACTCTATAAATTGCATTAAAAGCAAGAAATTTTTAGCTGAAACTAAAGCAGTAAATAAGCTTATAAGCAAATATTGGGTCATTAGATTTAAACACATTGGAGTTTATAGTAATTCATTCTAATAGCTGCAATGGTTATCTTTTATGAACATTTTTTTGCCAGGTGTAACTATTATAATACCACACATTTTTTTTTTTTTGTTGATTGTTTATTAAGAATTAATCTATTGTTAATTATAAATTAAGAATTAATCTATTGTTAATTATATTTTGATAATTTTTATATGTGTGTGTGTTTATAATGCGAATTTTGACATTTTCATTCTTGTTGTTTAGTAAAGGCTCAGCAATGTGTTGTGAAGAGGTGTGTGGATTAAAAAAACTGTTGTTTTATTACATTTTGGTATCAATACGCTTGGTTGTCATCCCATACATTGTTGATTGTGCTTATAGCAAATCTTTATATAGAGGGCTTCAGCTTCCTACTAAAAACATTATGAAATATGACTTCATTTGGAGCTGGTGCCAACCCAACAGTGGTTGCTTCTGTTGGCATTAATGTTGTTGTTATGGTTGTTTGAATAATACACTTAATTGTTTTGTTTCTTACATACGTAAACATACAATAGTTAGTGTGTCTATATGTTATGTCTAAATTGACATTGACTCAAAGCAATCATGAAAAGTTTAACATGGACTACCACTACCTAATTAGCAATGAAGTACGGCATTGATATCTTTGTGTCAAAAAAAAATTAACAATTATTGTGTTGAAAATATTTAGGAATCAAAAAACGTTACCTAAGGTCTTTTATTTTTAAAGGTATAGTCTAAATCCTCATGTTAACAACCTTGTAGGACCCCTCAAAACACTGAAGACCATCAATTGCCAAAATTTTTCCTTAAAGGCTTAAGGTCTAGGAAATGATGTTTAGTAGCCAGTATTCCACCACACATCTCAAGAGCATTTCTTTCTATAATTTTGACCAAATAGCATTCCTATTCTTATGTTGCTTTGACTCTATTCTGTAAGCAATAAACATGTATTTAGTGCAAACCAATACTTATAGGAAAGGAAATATAGACCAAAGCTTCAATTGTACAACTATACTTATGTTGTACCAGTTATCAAGTCTTTCATTTCTAAGTAAAATATAATTATAATGATGGATTTTTTTTGTCTGTCAACACAAGGTCTTGAGATCTATTTTTGTAACCTCTACTCTACAATGAAATTTTCTAATTTAAATCACTAGAAATTCTCTTGACATTATTAATCAACATGTTTTATAATCTCCAGGTATGTGATAGAGATTTAAACTTATCATATCTATAAATGTCTTTTTGTTTATTGATTTAAAGAAAAAATAGGTATTAATTTCATTTTGGTTTTTGCATATTGGAAAAACAACATTTCATTGCAGATGTCTTTGATGGTTCACTCTTTTTTAGGTTGAGACAATGTATTTGTTTGTTATTCTCTGGCCTTGCCATATTTCAAAACACTTAGCTTCCTTTAGGTTGAGACAATGTATTTGTTTATCATTCTCTGGCCTTGCCATATTTCAAAACATATAGCTTCTTAGGTTGAGACAATGTATTTGTTTATCATTCTCTGACCTTGCCATATTTCAAAACACATAGCTTATTAGGTTGAGACAATGTATTTGTTTATTATTCTCTGACCTTGCCATATTTCAAAACACATAGCTTCCTTGAATCTCAAATTGTGTCAATTTCATGAATTTATTACTTCTTACATTTCTGATGTTCATGTCTGGTTTATTTTTAAAATGTATTTTGTACAAGTTAGCTTGAGAACCTTGTAATTAGACACTTGTGTATGGCGTGTGTCGCATGCAAGCTTTGTGCTGCTGGTATTGTCTGGCTATTACAATTCTGTACTTTCACAACTAGAACTAGATTAACATCAATTGCAAAACTTATGGACTTTTTACTGTTATTGTTCCTTATATAGTGGAGACCTAAAAATACCTTCAAGAATATTCCCCTGAACATTTACAGTGCTTTTGAGACTAAATCTGAAGGTAAAAAATGTGTTGATGTTTAAACAATTTTGATAGGTTTTTTTATGTGACAACCATCTTTCTCTTTGTTACATGTCAATTATTCAAACTTTATACCATCTTTCTTTTTTTTTTTTATATATATATGTCAAGCTGTTCAATGTGTTCTTCATTATACCAATGAGTCACTTATTGATTAGACAGGTATTATAACTTAATGTTTTTCATATAGGGTTTATTGTGACCACCATTACTTGTGTAGTCACTGAAGGGTTGACGATCTAAAATGTTCTAAAAGTTATGTTTATTTTATTTATAAGCTTTCTACAATTTTCTGTTGTTTTTTTTTAATCAAGTCAATAACTAGCTATAACATTTTAGTGATCAGTACTACTGACTGATTCATTTAAGTATTAGTTTGTGCTGTTTTAAATTCTTGTAACTTGACTTTTTTTTATTCTGGTTGGCTTAGTTGTACTAAAATATTTTTTAAGTTTTTGTTCATCTGTTTGGTGATTATTGCTTGTTGCCATCTTTTATTTACTTGAAAAATGATATATATTTTTTTGTTAACTGTTAATGTAATGTGTTTTCCTCTATTTAAATGTTTACAATCATCAAGACTGATGTGTTTGAGCTGTGTGTACATTTTATGTCAGTGTTGCTACAAGTCCATAGTTAGTGTGTACAGCTGCATAGAACTGATATTTTGTTCACTGTGGATGACCTGTGTGTACAAATGTATTTTAATAACCACTGAAAGCCTGTAGGATTAAATACAAGTGTGAGTGTACAGACAGTATAATATTGGATGTATTATATAAATGACTCACATTTACTTGTTGGTCTTAGTGGCCTTGACATAAATCCATTGGTTCTGTAAAAATGTTAACAATAAATATTTCATCTTCTAAAATGCATTCTTGTTGTTACTTCGTGTTGGGTGGATCTAGTTCACTAGTAGTGATGCCTTAAGAAAATGTGGTCAGGTTTGAACCAAGGCAAGTGGAATCTAATCTATGGTTTATATTTCAAAAATTATTTTTTATATGTACTCAAAAAAAAAAATTCATTGAATATTTTATTAAAAATATTTCATGATCAGGTGTGAGAACTAGTAATATAGGTACACAATTTACAACAAAAACCTTTTTTTACAGTTATGAAGATGTAACTGCATTTCATATTGTTGAAACATCATCATCATTGTTGTAGCAATGCTGAGGTTGACAATTGTAGTCAAACTGAATTTCCTTTTGTTTGGACCAATACAATTACCGGTATCTATAAGAGACAATCTCAATACACTTGACAATGCAATGAATTGAATAATGTATTATCATTATAGCCGCACTTCCTTTTGTCTACCAGAGTCCTAGAGAGATTAAGTTGGCCTGAGATATTTCCTCTTACATCCACCTGGCCCTGAACTTTACTTGAAATACTCAATGTTCCCTGACAAATAGGCATTTATCCAAGGGCAGTAAGGTTTTTATTTAGACTGATCAAGAGAAGAACCAACTAGAATGCAGGAGTAACAAGAAGAGTTCCTGGTGACTCTGAGGAGTAACAAGAAGAGTTCCTGGTGACTGCAACTGAAGCATCATATACAAATAAAGGAAGATAATTTTTTTTCTTTAAATCAAAAGTGTTTAGTCAATGAGTTTAACATCAACACTGTCCTACAGAAATGTCTGAATCTGATGGTATGTGAGGAGAATTTGTTATAATTTAACTAAGAGAATACATTTATTGCTCACAGCTATCAATGCCTTTGACTTTGATGGCCCTAGAAGTACATAGCTAAGACAGATCTAGATGTAAAGGCTCTTTACAGATGTAACACTGTCCTTGGCTGTCTCACCAAATAGGCTAAATTAGCTGAATCATCATCTGTCCTTGTGGAAAACTGAAGAATACATTTCAGAGCTGATCCGAATGTGAAGGCCACACCACTCATTTCTAGTGGCACCAAATGGTTAGCTTCACTCTGGGTGAGACGGTACAATACCCGGTCACCATAAAACGAGATGAATTATAAATGCCAGAAATAGAAGCAGAAAGGAGAGAATGGCTACAGCTATGATTGTATCAACGTCCCTCTTCACTTGGTGAGCATGCCTCTTCTCCTGACATCTTCTCTCCCAGTGGGACATCATCTCCTGGCAGTCGTCATGCATCATACGCAGCATTTTCCATCTCTCCTGCAACATCTCCACAGCACCGACAATGAAACGGTCGGCGAGAACACTGTCATAGATCTTTTCATAGTCCACTTTGTCGTTGCCGAATTGTCTCTTCAGCTTTTCTTCCAGCGTTAACTTGCGCTGTGAATGAAGAAACAAAATGGGGAAGATAGCTCAAGCAATACTCAACGGGTGTAGACGTGAGAGTGTAAACATTGGAAGTCAAAACTAAAACACAAAATTAGACCAAGATCAACTTACAAGTTGTAGAAAGTTGTTCATGTTCTGTGTAGTAACACTGTCTAATTAGCACACAGTTTAGATGTGGATCAAAGTCCTTCTTTTATTGAGGGGAGCAGTGGTCATGGTTGACTAGGTTTTGGAGGTTACATTTTACGTCTTTTTTGTGTTTTAGCCACAAATTTATTCACTACACACACACAGATGCGCGCGCATATACACTAACACGCAAAAAAAAAAAATAGTTACCGTAATTAGAACGGGTGGGGGGAAGGTCTGTTGTATTAAACATTTGAAGAACTCCCATTATTCCATCTTCGACATCTTCGTTTTTAAATTTATGCTGAGGCGCTGCATTTTTTAATGATGAAAAATGAAGCAGAGAAACATGGCAACTATCTAAGGCTGGCCATGTTGCAGGTGTCTGGTAACCTTATTGAGGACGAGTAGGCCTATCTGCATGAAGGGTCTACATATTGGAAATGTGGGATCCGATATAAGCGATGAAAAAAGACAAAAACAATGACATTATATTATAAAAGTCATATTAAATAAATAAACAGGAAGGCGGCGAAGGGCCATTAATTGGTGCTGAATGTTACAACGTCACTGACCTTAAAACTTCTCTTTCGAATCACTCCAGTCTCAGTGACGCCAATAATTTTGGTTTCTGTTATTTCCTCCTCGTCTTCGCTGCTCGTAGAGATGTTGATGCCAGGTACTTCCAGCAGGGTTGAACTCTGTTTTCCCACCTCGGCCGCTACGTTACCGTTCGAAAGGTCCGTCGCTGAGATAGAGGTACATGAAGCACCACCCTTCTGTGATTGCGTGTTGAGTGCCTCTGTGTGAGTAGATTGAAAACAACCGACGTATGGGGTCACAAGCAACTCAGGGCTAGACTTTGCGGCTGGGGTCACTTTCAGTTCAGGATTAGACATCTTTGGTGGGGTCACCAGCAGCTCGGAGCTAGACAAGTGAATAACAACAGTTGTTTTATTTCTACTATGATAATCTGAATCAAACTTGTTGATGTTTAGACTATTGTGTATAACTAGAAAAATCGTAGCCTCCAAGTACACGTGTGCATATAGGGTCTACTACCTTTGTTATTTGTGTTAATTAGGCCGACCGAATATTACCCTAAGGTTGAGGCCTATATTATGCTGTAGGTCTATACATTACTACAATCCATAGTACTCCTCGACATTTCAAGCTTGGTTAATATAAAGCCACGTTTCCAATTACCGTTGTGTAGAAACTGTTAATTAACGTTACTAGTGCCTATACCTACCTCTCGTCCTATCAGAAACGCGATGGCTTATCTCAATTGTTTCCGCAGCGAAAAACACAGACACGGGAGTCATGAAAAAAAGGAAGGTACCGGTATATGCATCCATTAGGCCTAAATTATTCCAATAGTGAACGAATAGGCAGGCATTTTTTTTAAAGAAAGGTATCAAGTAACAAGTGAGATTTCAATGTCAGTGTGTAAAACAAGAACTGATACCGGAGACAATAATATCTTCTTTTATAAGGAATGTTAAAAAAAAGAAGAAGAAAAGAGTAGGCCTACTTGAGCAAGAACACATTGGAAACGGTAAAACGTCTACAGGCGGGTAGCTTGCCTATTTACACTCTTAGATGATGTCAAGGCAAAGGGAAGAGGGGAAGTAACCCGTCTCAAGTCTGCTAACAGTAACAGAATACATCTCTACCTGTGTGCGCACGTCCCCACTACATTCCATTACACACTCACGCGCATAGTTTCAGGAGCACATGCGGCTATCGTTAAAAATAAAACATGACGCAACTCAAGTTTCTTTCAAAAAAAAAAATAATTAAAAAGGTAATTTAGATTTTACGCAATTGAATATAACCTGTCTGCTAATGCTACGCGCGCACACACACGGATTACACCCTAGACAATAGGACAAAAAAAAAAAATGCTTAGGCCTATATTAAGCATGTGTGTATGATATGTGTATCGAGTAGTTTGGATCAGTCATGTAGATATAGACTAACAATAGAAAAAACATTTATACAAAAAAAAGGGGGGGAGGGGAGAACGACCTGAATTCGAACTAATGGTTCAAGCCGACATTGTAACCACTCTTCTCCTGAAGCTCTTTTGAACATAGAATATTGCATAGTTATGTGTTGTTTCAATAGTCTCGTTATATTTCAAGCTTGTTTTCACCAAGAATCAGACGACGACATATAAAGGGGACTAATTCAGCTTATACTTCTTCAATCAAGTACAAGTTCTTTCTCTTGTTCGAGATACCAAACAAAATAATTAGCAATAGCTAATTAACTAATTGATTTTTTAAAAATTGATTCTTGTGTTGTCAGGTAAAAGAAATAATTGTGCAAATTTTCAGCTTGATTTTAGATAGGTGTCAGGGAAATACCGTTGACAAACGTCTTCGTATAGTGAGTTGATTTAAGCTTTGTAACGAGTGTAGCTAACAAAATACAAGTTATAAAGCATTTAGACTATTTGAATTTGATGAATTTTTTTTAAACAGTATCTAGTAAAGACTCACATAGGCCCAGCCTCAAGAATTTTCCAAAATTAATGTACCATATTCATGAAACGCGAATTAACGGCTACTAGTGTGTACAATAGTAGGCCTGTGTCCAACCAGAAGCCTGGTCACAAATACAAGAATTGGTGTACGTCTATTTTATTGGCAAGTGTATGAAAACAGACAATCTCTATTTGACTTAGGCCAAGTAGCCTATACAGATTCGTCATTTAAAGCCAATGTATGAAATATCTGCGTTGTTAGGCCGAAATAAGTGTTACTCAGCACTGTAGTATAAGTATTTTAGTTTCAAAAAGTGTTACATAGCACAGAAATCATTAGTTCTTGTTTTCAAATTTACTAGAGTACTGAGCAGTAAAAACAGATCATGAAATATGACATAGTTATGAATATCTTCAACTTTTAATAAACTAAATTGTGTTCACGAGTTGGTTCTAAATTATTATGTAAATCCAAAGATGTCCAAAAAAAAAAAAAAAGGATTTTATATCGAGGCTTAAATGTTAACTGAACCCAAAAAACAGAAAATGTTTTATGGGAGTCGACCCAGACAACAAAAATCAGGAGCTGGCGACTCATTGACAAATTGCAGCACACTGTGCTATGTTCTGACAGGAATCCTCAAATTTGGTCATTGCACTTTGTTACAGACTTCGTTAGGTCTATTTACAAAGCTTACAAATTTAGAGCACTATTTCTCCCACTTCCCATTCACGGATCAAGTTGAAACATTTGCACAATTATTCATAGATCCTAATAAAACACAAATTAAGAAAAAAATCAACCAATCAGTTAATTAAATAGTGTCAATTCCTTTTTTTTATTTGTTACTGAAACGGAAGTACATATTACAATACTGATATATATTCAGTATATATATATATATATGTGGCTGTAAATGTGAAGTTTTTCCTCTAGGATAGGCTTTTTATTTTTGTCTCCCTCGTCTATCATAAATACTAATCAGCTCTATATAAATGATGTTATCTAGGAAAAAATAGCAGCACACAATGGTTGTGTGGAATGTGCTTTAAACTTGTCTGAGTCCTACGTTCAAACCCTGCCGTCGCCCAGAAGAGGCTCTGGCTAGGATGTAATAACTAACAAAATAATATACACACACACACAGCAGCAGACTAATCAAAGAAATATGTTATGGACAATCAGGAAGGAAGATGCCTATACCATTTACACTAAATAAAAGAATGGGAAAGAACCAGACACTCAACAAATGATTATATTTTAAAAAAAATATTTTTTTCTTGTTTTTAAAAACATTTATTTACATTTATCAATATTTGTGTACATATGTACAAAAAATATACAAATATCCACACAATGAAAAGCAATATTCTCTTTACATGTAAGAACTAACATGTTCTCCACATTGTAGCAAGAGGTCTGTGAGTTCTGG